CTTTTACAACACCCACGGGATGAAATAGGGTAGGCAGTGTACTATCTTAAGCTACCAATCCACGACGGATCCAGAAATATTTTAAAAATAGACCTACATTTTTATTCAATTAAAATTATTTTATTTTATTTCTTAAAGTTAAATGTAAATGATTTAAAAAACCAGCCAGTAACTATGCTTTGACTTTGACATATTATTAGATAGATTAAAAAAATAGTACCCGAAAGCACATTATTTTACTTCATTAATACTTCGTAGATGAAAGTAATAAAACATTTTGTTTACAAAGGTAATTTAAGAAGTGAATGTGTCTGCGTATCCGCATACAAAAAGTAAAAATCAATTATTGTGTAAAGCATAACAATAGTAAGTAGATTGGAGAAAGTTAAATAAGGAGCCCAGAATAAATAATAGTACTACGACATAGCTTAAGTTCTCAATTTGAGTTATAATTTTATATAAAGAAACAATAGCGATATGAGAAATAGAAATTGAATTTTCCTTATTCAATGATATAAACCTAAATAATAATTATTGAATTTCATTTTACGTGAATGACCTTGCAAAAAATTTACCTGACTGGGCGATGGTTACACTATTTGCGGATGATACACAAGTTGGTATTAAAGATAAAATAGCATTTCAAGTAGCCAAGAAGACAGATGAAATTTTAAGTGTACTTAGAAAATGGTTTGAAGCAAACGGAATAATTTTGAATGCAGAAAAAAGTACCATAATTAATTATGCAAGCAAAAAAACAAATAAAGTCACGCATCGCAAGTCGCATTTTTAGGGTGTACTCTCGATTCCACTTTAAGTTATGAAACCCATATAGATAATGTTTGTAAAAAGTTATCCAGTGCAAATTAAGCCTTATTTAAGCTTAAATCCATTATTGACAGGAAAACTCTAATATCCGTCTATTTTCACTCAATTATTAGCTACGCGATTACGATATGGGGTAATGCTTCACAAATTGAAAGAGTACTGATTTGTCAAAAAAGGTCGATTAGAATTATACATGGATTGCAAAGATTGACATCAGCAAGAGCTTATTTCCAAAAAGCGAAAATCATGACTGTCGTGTCGTTGTATATTTATAGTTCGCACCAGCAAAAGCAAGTGAACTATCAATGAAGATGCACGTACACAACTACAATTCAAGTAATCGCGAAAGATTAGTTGTTCCTAGAACCAGATTAGTCAAAGCGTCCAAGCAAGGTTTTCCATTAAAAATCAAAATGTACAATAAATTGCCTATAGAAATAACAAGACTTCCATTAAACGCGTTTCGACAAGTGACAAAAACATTCTTTTTGAATCACGCTTTCTATAATATAGAAGAATATATGAAATGTTCATTTTCTGACTTGCGTGACATGTAAAATAATGTAAATGTAAATGTAGATGTATATTAATTTGTGATTTTAATAATTTAGTGTAATCTTATATCATTTACCGACCACGGAGGCTGGCCCGTCAGCAACTCCTGCATCTGCAGCACCTGACTTAGGTGCTCTGATGGTGATGCTGCAGGAACAGGCTCGCCGACAGGAGGAACAGGCCCGCCGACAGGAGGAACAGGCCCGCCGACAGGAGGAACAGGCCCGTCAGTTGGAAGAGCAGCTGCAGCGCGGACAGGAAGAACAGGCCCGCCAACAGGAGTAACAGGGCCGTCGGGTGGAAGAGCAGCTCAAACGCTATAAGGAGGAGCAGATGCTCCTCATGAAGGACCTTTACGCTACCTTCGGGAAAGAGATAAAGGAGGTGAAGGATAGGGTTGCTCAATATGACAACCGCCTGTCGGAAGCTGAAACCCGAATCGACCAACTGTACAATCGGGTTGACAACGTGATGGCTGACATGAATAAAACGCTGGACGACCTCAAACATGGAGATGGAATTACAGCTCCCGTGGTAGCTGCAACACCTTCGCTAGGTGGATTATTTAAAGTGCCGCCGTTCGACGGGACTTCTTCCTGGTCAGCCTATAAAATCCAGTTCGAGGCTGTTATGAAGGCGAACGGCTGGAATAAAAGTCAGGCCATGACTGCTCTCACCCTAGGCCTACGCGACCAGGCCTTAACTGTTCTGGAAGCTTTCGGTAAGGAAGTGACTAACGAGCAGCTCCTTGAGGCATTGGAGGCGAGATATGGCGACACTCATCTCGAACACGTCTTTCGTGCGCAGCTCAAAGATCGCGTGCAACGCAGTAACGAAAACCTGCAGCAGTGAGCCCTTGAGGTGGAGAATCTGGTTTGAAAAGCATAACAGTCTATACCTGCGGTCATTGTAGGGAACCTGGTGCAGACATTCATCGACGGTATCCACGACCTTGAAGTTAGAGCTGCTGTGAGGCTCGGGCACCACGAGAGGCTTAAGGACGCCTTGGCCCATGCACTGGAGGTGGAAGCCGTGCGGCAGGATCATCGTTCCCACCGCGTCAGGGAAGATGCAGCAGCTACAGTTCAGGACCGCAATAAGAGCTACAGCCCTAGGTGCTACGGCTGTGGGGAAAGGGGCCATCTTCGATCCAGCTGCCCTAAGCGAACTGTACAAAGGGAAGGTGATCGATCTCGAGAGGGTAGTGTGGCTAACAGCACCGCCCAGCAGCAGCAGGGAAACTGACGGGTGCTGACTGATGTTGTGGATGGATCGACTGGCGCGTTATTATGGGGCCAATAATGCTCGGGAGGAGCATGTCTTAGGAGGGGGCAGTGTTGCGCGCCACTATTAATGTCTTGTATATGGCAACACTAGTTCCTACTAGCGCCCTCTAGTGTCGAGTAGCAGAACTAGGAGAGTCAGGATCCTTCTAGAAATTTCGGGACCGACTGACCACGACGACCGACCGACTCGAACATTCTAGATGTCGCTAAAGTAGAAGGTTCTGGAAACTATCTGAGGCCCTATATAAGGCCGGTATAAACCACGACCGAGTCGGTATAGAATTGGCGATACAAGAGAACACTTCGAAGTGAAATAACTGCGAACTAAAGTGATTGTGTTTTATTATTAGTGTTGTGTAATTAAAGTGTCAATTTTGGTAATTCAATCGGCAGTTTTTTATTGTCTCGAACCCCAAGCTCGTAACAATATGTTACTTGGTCAGACTAATTAAATTTACGCTAATATAAATTTCAATTTCATTTTTATTTCAAACTAACCGTCCCGGAGTACTTTCAGCTTTTTGAAATTAAAACTTTAACTTTGACATCGTGACCATGAGTGCTGCACAGAACCCTAAACGTCGGATATTAAAAATAAGTCAATTTAAACCCGATAAAATCTATAAAAACAGTTAGTAAGTTTAATAAGTGTGTAGTGTTCGCGTAAATAAAAGAAATCTTTAATTTTCATATTTAGATTTTACACTATCTGCCGGTTTTAATGCGGAATCCGTGGTAGCGATATAGTGTGGTCTTCACACTTTAAACTTTTACTTTTAACAATTGAATTGTGTTGTTAAGATCAAGCAACAACTTGTACAACAACTAGTAACTCGTTTTAATTTCTCCATACATAACACAACGTTCATTGTTTACGGCGCTATTTACATTCTTTATTGTTATAGTTTGCATTGTTACGGACTACAATATGGATTCAATGTCACTCGTGTGTGAAAGAAGCTATGATAATATTTTTAATCTATACACATCTATATAAATAAATAAAATTGAAGCGTCTGTTTGTAATGTTAAAATTACAGCTTTTTACTAAATGCATATAAAAGTATATACGGTGTACTAATAACATAAATACTATAGTGTATACTAATAGTACTAGTTTTTAAATTAAATATTATAAAGAATAATTTCTTATTAATGACAGTGGCAAAAATATAACTTTGCGAGTCCATAAAGAAATTTAAAAAAAACATCCAGCAAAATACTGTCTGTTGATTTTGAAACTACACGATTTTAAAAGATAAATAGCGCCTTAAACCGAAGAGTATTATTGATATAATACTCTTCGGTTTAAGGCGCTATTTATCTTTGAAGCTGTTTTAGCAAATTTAATAAACATGTAAACATTTTAGCCCAGTAGTGATTACTGGGCTAAAATGTTTACATGTTTATTAAATTTACTAAAACAGCGTCCGTAGCAAACAAAATATATCGTAAATGAAAGTAGGTAATAATAAATTTTGTTTACAAAGGTAATTTAAGAAGTGAATGTGTCTGCACTACATACAAAAAATAAAAACAAAAAGCAATTAATATGTACGCATAACGATAGTAAGGCAGATTGGAGAAAGTAATTGTATCAAAGCGTAAGTTCTCAACGTGAGTTATAGTTCAAGCATTCTAGATAGCAATGTATGAAAAAATTGGTAAAATTAATGGAGTATTTTTATCTATCGGCATGTGTACGTTATAGAACGAAGTTAAATGTAATCCCTTCCCGGAGATTCGGCCATTCAGCGAAAAATAATTATTTGTATTTTAGCTAAAAAATCGGCAAAATAAGCAAAGTAAAATTTTATCCCCTCCCCTTACCCCTCCCGGATGAGCGTCACCCCATGTCGCCTCAGAAAGTGTCCCGAAGTGTGGTCTTTTGCCGTTTTAAAGAAAACCGTACACTATAGTTTAGAACGTGAGTACGCTTTACGTTTTTTTCAGAATGAGGGTGACAAACGAGCACACAGTCCACCTGATGGTAAGTGGATGCCGTGACCCATAGGCACCTACATCAATCTTTAATTAAGAATCGAAATGCAGATGCGTTCACCCTTGAAGACTAAGATGAAATGTCTCACTTCCACTAATAAGGGTTTCGGGTACTCTACACTCACCATACGAAGCTATTTTACGCTGTTATTTTGTGAGAGCGTGGTCCTTCCTCGGTCGAGTCGACCTATTCCTGCTACAAGCATAATAGGTGCAGCGTGGCTCTACCACGTACGAAATGGTGATGGATATGGATATTATTTTATACCGCTCACCGCTATTTGGCTACTTTCAACTTAGTACAAAATAGTGTAAATAACAGGTACTTACGTAAATGCCTTTAGATAAGGAATATTGAGGGTTCGCAAAGCGGTCCTGATACTGATTGATATTGGAGATATAAGGATAGTAGTCCGAAATATGGCTTCTCACCGGTCCCGGCAAGCGAACGTTCTCTAACTTATACGTCTGTGGCCTCTCTCTAGGCACAACAGAATTGACGTTGCTTAAAGAGATTCCTCTCAAATTATAAACTCCCAGGGTGGTCCTGGAATTCTGGTACAGCACATGTTTCTCAGGCCAAGTGTATTTCTTCAGCGTAATCGGAGGTATCTGAGGTATTTCTCTGTATCCAGTGTATTCTGCAACACTCTTGGGGTATTCTCGTATCGGCTCTGATGAAATGTATGGTTGGTATTCTTTCGGACTGTTGATTAACCTGTTGAATGCCTTCATTCTCTCACTTTCTGGCAACTTGGTGTCAGGATCATCCATGTAACTGACTAGTGCTTCTTCTAGTGTTTTGTAAGTATTGTATGCGTATTGCGGCGTCTTCGCCCCTGGGCCAGTGTCGTCGTAGTTGTTCTCTATGGCGAGTTTGATCTGGGATTCTGATGCTACCGAATGACTTGGGAACCGTGATCGCTCTTGGACTGTTTTGACGCTGGTAGCCAAGGCCAGGACTAGAGGGACCTGTAAACAATGTGAAGATTATTATAATGTCTTAATAATCAATAAGGTATCTTAAATTATTTCTTATATTTACGCGATTGCTAAAAACGAATACCTAAAACTACTTTACTGATTTTATCACGTTTTATTTTGTTAATTTTTAGAGTTCCGTACCCAAATGGTAACCAACGGGACCCTATTACTAAGCCTCCGTTGTACGTCCGTCTGTCTGTCAGCGGGCTGTATCTCATGATCCGTAATAGGTAGACAGTTGAAATTTTCATAGAATATGTATTTCTTATCCCGTGATGACAACGAATAATAAAAATAAATAAAAAATTAAAGGGGCTTCCCAACTAGAAACGTGTTTTACGATGGTACGGCACCCTTTATGCGCGAGTCCGACTCGCACTTAGCCGGTTATTATTTTTAACCCTCGATGGAAACAGGGGGGTGTTATATGTTTAACGTGTGTATCTGTATGTATGTTTGTGGCAACGTAGCTCCCAAACGGGTAAACCAATTTTGATTTAGATTTTTTTTGAAAGGTGACTTGATTGAAACTGTTCTTAGCTATGATCTATGAAGCTATGATGATATGAAGAAAATCTTTTCAGTCGTTTGAAGATCACCAGTCCTTTTTGTTTCGTGGGTTTTTAAAGTTTTTAATTTAAGCTTTACGTGGTAGAGCCATGCTTCAGCTATATTAGTAGTATAGTTGTAGCACGAATGGGTCGGCTCGACCGGGGAAGGACCACGCTCTCACAGAATACCAGCGTAAAATGGCAGCTTGCCACTGCTATGTTTCGTATAGTGAGTGTAGAGAACCTGAGACCCATTTTACTGGAAAAAAAAGAGGCAATCCATCTTAGTCCTCACGGGTGACAACGCATCTGCATTTTGAGTCTTTATTGAGGATAGATGTAGATGTCTATGGGTCACAGCAACCATTTACCATCAGGTGGGCTGTGCACTCGTTTGTATCCCTATCCTATAAAACGAAAGCACGAATGGGTCGGATCGACCGGGGAAGGACCACGTTCTCACAGAATACCAGCGTAAAATAGCAACTTAATACTGCTGTATTTCGTATGGTGAGTGTAGAGAACCGGAGACCCATTTTACTGGAAAAGAGGCATTCCATCTTAGTCCTCACGGGAGACAACGCATCTGCATTTTGATTCGCAAACGAGGATAGATGTAGATGTCTATGGGCCACAGCAACGACTTACCATCAGGTGGACTGTGTGCTCGTTTGTCACACTATCCTATAAAAAAAGCTATACTTTCATATGTTTAAGATCCTATAATAAACTATTGGTAGCTAAAACTAACATAAAAATGTGAATATCAATACATTCTTTCTGAACCATTGTCAACTGCAGCTCAACCGGTGTATCATTTAGTTAGTATAAATTCTACAAGTAATTTAGAAAATTGTTTTGTGTTATTTAGTCAAAAGAAAAAACCACTAAAAAAAGTCCAAACTGAACTGAGGTGTTTGACGTCTCGATGTCATATTTGACCCAGGCTATGCTACCTTTAGCCTTTCATTATTTATTTTAGTTTGATCCACGCATAACGAACTTACTGTATAATGAAGTCATGCAATGGTATGCTTGGGTTTAGATTTTTACGAGCACACCGTCCACCTGATGGTAAATGGATGCTGTAGTCCATAGACATCTACATCTAACCTCTATTAAGACTCAAAATCCAGATGCGTTGTCACACCTGAAAACTAAGATGGAATGCTGCGTTTTCACTAAATAGGATCTCCAGTTCTCTACACTCATCATACACACATCAGCATTGAGATGCTATTTCACGCTAGTATCCTGTGAGAGCGTGGTCCTTCCCCGGTCGAGCCGACCCTTTCTTTCTACGACCAAAATATACTTAGTCGGCTCATAAGTTCTGTCAAAACATTATTATTTAAAAAAAATACTGGCTAGATTAACTTCACCAATTTTAAATCAATCTTCAAAAAAAAATCTTAGCTCTTCAGATGGGTAGGCCCATCTGAAGAGCTAAGATTTTTTTTGAAGCAGAAGCAGAAGCAGAACCACGGTCAAAAGAGTGATCGATGAAGAGCTAAGACTACAAGCTTTTGAACGAGCGTTTGAAAAAAATTAGGCTGGATAGATCCCGCGCTTAGTTACGGCGGTACGCGGGAAAAAATGCCGCGAAATTTTGTATTCTGATGAAAAAAATTTTAACTTCGAAGAAAGTTATAATAAACAAAATGATAAGGTGTCTGCCAACAGCAGTTAAGAAGCCAGCACGCGTATTCCAAGGGTTCAAAGAGAATATCCTTCGTCACTCGTGGTTTGGCTTGGCGTCACATATTCAGCCTTAACTGATGTGTTTTTCTGTGAAAAAGGTGTAAAACCCAGTGCCGAGGTGTACCAAAATATCGTCCTAACAAAGATAGTGGAAGCTCTTTCTCAAACAATGTTCAAAAACAAGCATTGGATATTCCAACAGGACTCTGCACTAGCTCATAGGGTACGAAGCACGCAAAACTGGCTGACCGCCCGTGGAATTGAATTTATCGGACATGAAGACAGGCCCTCTTTACTGGATTACAGGATATGGCAACATTTGGAGGAGAAAGTCTGCGCTAAAACTCATCAGAATTTGGAATCTCTCCGGGCATCTTTGGCTAAAGCAGCGGCAGAAATAGATATAAATGTGGTGCATGCTGCGATTGATGATTGGCTACGTCAATTAAGGGCATGTATTCAAAATAGGGGAGGGCATTTTGAATAATGTAAATGAAATTATATTCTAAACTAAATTACCTTTTATTTCATATATAATTTCTATATAATTATCAAAAAGTGTATCATTAATTTTATAAAAAGTTTTTGACAGAACTTATGACCTGACTAATTATAAAGACAAACAAATGCGGAAACGCCGGAAAACAGGTAACGCAACATAACGCAACACTGTTTAGCACCGCGTTTCGTAAAACGTGTTACACAGTTAATTATAGCAAGTTTATTAATTGTAATGTTCGGCGTTATTAGCGCGTAAATGTTAGGTTACATAAATCGGCTATATTATATCAAGTTTTAATAAGTCCTGTAGCTGGTGTACAGTAGCACTTTCATGTTTGACACCGAGTTTTTTTTTTAAATGACTAGTCGTAGTAGTCGTCGCGGCCTGACTTCGCCTGGATAAAATCTATGGTGTTATTATAAATAAATCTATTATGATAATCATCAAAGACCATATTTTTTTTAAGTTTTTTGGTTAAAATATAGCTAAGATCACTCCTTTCATTGCTCTCTATATGATCGTGAAGATTAAGTTACAATCGCATTAGCACGGTAGTTCCCACGGCGCAATTTGAAGATTCGCATAGATCTCGACGAGATACGCCGAAAAGTAATAATAAAATTTTTCGATATCTCGCTTAGTTTCCGAGATATCGATATCTGATCGAGATCTGCAACAGCTTCAGCGCTGCGGCAAGTGCAGCTCCTTCGATCTCTTTTCGGCCTACAGCTTTACAAAAACACTAGGAGTAGGCCAGACAAGACTACGTGGAATCGGGGCGTGCTTATTCGATTTTAGTATTCGATTTTTGAGTATCGATATCTCGTATAGTCTAAGCGAGATTCGAAAAAATTATCCTTACTTTTCAGCGTATCTCGTCGAGATCTATGCGAATCCGCCTTCAAATCGTGGCGCCGTGGGAACCGCAGAAGATTCTTTAGCACGCAAAATACCCACTCAGCTCAATATAAAGCAGTTGATTAGATGTTACAGACAGATGTGGATGAACCGATTGTGATGGAGCTTTACGAACAGATTGAAAGCAATGCCAGGGGGGTTATCGGAAAAGCATGATTTTTTTTGAAAAAAAAGATAAGTTGATGAAATAAATGGTCTTGGATTATATTAAGTCTAACTAACGCCACGAACTAAGTCCCTACCCAAGCGAAACCGGGGCGGGTAACTAGTTAAAAATTAATTTACATTTGTCTGCTTTTGTAAAACAAAGAAACACGTTTTGGTCAGTAATTGTGGAAAGTTGTTTAAATACGTCATATCGCTCTTATTACTCTAGACGTGTTACGTGATTCGGCAGGACAGATTTTCCAAATTGTATCTTTATGCTAATAATTATGAATGTTGCTTTACCGTTACAGAGTGTTAAAGTGTACTGCTCATAGGCCCCACGCTTCAAGCGCGTTGACAATCGTAGTTTTTTTAATTTTAATCGTTATTAGGAATACGCCGGTGCACATCTCATGATTTTTTTATAGGATAGTGTGACAAACTAGCACACAGTCCACCTGATGGTAAAGTATATCCTCTATCCTCAATAAAGTATCAAAATGCAGATATGCGTCACCCGTGAGGTCTAAGATGGAATGCCTCTTTTCCAGTAAAAAGGGTCTCCGGTCCTCTACACTTGCCATACGAAATACAGCAGTGTTAAGCTGCTATTTTACGCTGGTATTCTGTGAGAGCGTGGTCCTTCTCCGGTCGAGCCGCATGGCTCTACCACGTAATAAAATTTGTTTTCCTCTGTCACATCTTACGACATCCAGGACTATATGGGTGTAATGGATATTCTCAAACCACAACCACACGGAGATTAGACCCACTCGATTAGACTATATTAATAAACACTACAAATAAGATTAAGTTTCTGATGAAAAAAAAATAGTAAATAATAAATATTTTCTTCTAGCCTGTAATTTTTTTAAAAATTCAGCTTCGCCCCTATGTAGCGTTTGCAACGTATTGTATTTTCATGTTGGTATTTCAATAACAATGTTGCTTTATATTATGCGTTCGTAATTCCTTCCTTCCTTATTAGGTTGTTATTAAAATAATTTAATATACAGCGTATTTTTTTCCTTTCTTACACTATCATTTGATTTTGAACTACGCTATATATATTTCAAGTGTCTGGCTCATCGGGGAGTTAGTTTACGATAGGGTTAAAAAAATCTCTATGGAAAATGCTGAATCCAAAAAGCCTGATTTCTATAAAAATG